TTTTAAAATCTCTATTTGTTTTATATATTCATGACTCACAAGCATGCATTTTTCTGTGTTCTTGAATTACCTCTTGGGGCGTCCACACTCTATCCGGACTAGAGAAAGGATTTCCAGGAGAGGGAGATCAGAGATAGGACAGGAGGAGGAAGATGTGTGTTGCCTCCTGTCCTCTCCTCTGTGAGATCAGATTCCCGCTGTCTTCTCTGTCTCACCCGGGATCCTTCTGTTGCCTGCTCTCGTCTCTGCCTATTCCTGTCCCTGCTGTCACCTGTCTTCCCTGTCATCATCACTGTCCATCTCTGTTTCAGTTGGGCCCCGTCCCCAGAAGGACCTCAGCTCCAGCCTCTGAGCCCTCTCTGTCCCTCTCTTGCTCAGGGTTCTCTGAGAACCAGATAGCAACCCCCTTCTCCTCCTCCTCACCCCCAGACACTGACATTTCAGTGGCCCAGTTCACAGTGGCCCAAAAACCACTTTCCTTTTTCTTTCTTTTTTTTTTTAAAAGCTCATGGCTTTCTTCTTCTTTTTTTAAATATATTTTATTGATTTTTTACGGAGAAGAAGGGAGAGGGATAGAGAGTTAGAAACATCGATGAGAGAGAAACATTGATCAGCTGCCTCCTGCACGCCCCCCAGTAGGGATGTGCCCGCAACCAAGGTACATGCCCTTGACTGGAATCGAACCTGGGACCCTTTAGTCCGCAGGCCGACGCTCTATCCACTGAGCCAAAATGGTTCAGCCCAAAAACCACTTTCAATGAATGACAAACACATGCATTTGGACGGACTACATCTCTATGCCCGTCATTTTATTATTCAGTCTACAAAGAGCGTTTGCTGCACATAAAGCACCTCTGACCCCTTGTAATAACTTGGTGTCCCCGAGGGGGCACTCAGCCACCAACTGAGAACCACTGACTTAGAGCTGAAAGGTGATGTGAAAACAGGAAGGGATGTTCAATACATTCCTAACGTGTTTCCAAAACAAAAACAAAACAAACAAACAACCATCACGGTGTCCTGTAGAGTTGCCACATGTAGATAAAGGCTGGTGGGCGCTCTCACCCCCACCCCCCATTGTCAGATCTCACAGGGCCCCAGACTGCCTGCCTGCCTGCCCCCTTCTTCCTATTTGTGGCAAATAAATAGGAAGTCAAATGTAGCACCTACCCATCCGCTCTTGCAGCCACTGGGGCTTCAGCCACAGGCAGCGGCTGCCCTAACCACCAGCCCTCCCCTCCACTTCCCCAGCCAGAGGGGACCGCAGAGCCAGGTGAAGAGCCTCAAGCAGGAGGCCCGCCGTTGGGGTGTTTGCTCTGAGGCCTGGGCAGGGCTGGAAGGAGTTGGGGAGGAGGGAAGGAGTCTGTGTTTTGGTGGGTGCTGAGGTGCCCAGGAGCACGTGGGGTAAAGAGGGAAGGGTAGTTACTGAGGGGAAGGGGAAGGGCCTTGGGACATGTGTTGAGCTCAGGTGGTCCCGTGCTTTGCGACCTTCAGTGAAAGATGACAGAGAAGCGAGGAGATGACTGAGCAGACAGCTGAGCTCAGGGCATCTTCCTGGCAGGCCACTCTCTTAGACAGACCCTGGTGAGAGAGCTGAGGGGACAGTCTGGGTGGCAGGGCTCTGGGACCTCCTTAGCTGCCCAGAAAAGCTGTGTGGATGAACGGATGCAGGGCCTCTGCTTGGTGGACAGTTTCCCTTGGTGGGGAGCCTGTGGTGAGTAGTCATGGAGTCATGAGTCCCTCCCAGCATGGAGGAGAGTGGCTTCCCAGTTCCCTGTGGCCCCAAGGAGTCTGGAATATTCCCTCAGATCTCTGAGCTCACTTGGGAATAACCTTCATGAAGACCCTCCTCTCTCCTCTCTTCCTCATTCCTCACCTCTGATTGGCTAGTCTCCACTCGAGCCTCTTCCCGTACCTACCAGGAGCACATCATTGGCTTCTAAATGTCAGCACTGAGAGAGTCCTTACACATCAAATAGTCCAACCTGCCCATTTTGCAGATAGGGAAACTGAGGCTGGGAGGGCAGTGACTGGCTCAAGGTCACACGATGGTTTAATGGGAGAGCCAGCCCTGGAAGCCATGCCATTTGGAGGACCTTTACTGCTCACCTGTGACTGACTTGTCTTCCCAGCAGGTAGTGGTGGCATGAAGGGGGGACCTGCTCCAGAATTGGGTTGTTGCCACAAGACCGAGCCCCTGAGGAGCACAGGGAGTTCCCTGTCCCCCTGCCTGGACTTCCAGTCCTGCCAAGACGACCAGGTGAGGTGGAATCGCAGCCCTGCTTATGGAGGGAGGGGACATTAGGAGGAAGTGGGGGAAATCTGGAGGGACCTGAGTTCCCATTGTCCCCTGGTCCTGAGCACCCCTGCCCCAGTCCATCATGGGGATGGGCCCTTGAGGTGCCAGACACCCTCTCCCATGCCCTGGGGGCCAGACTCTCCTGTGGGCCATGAGAAAGGGGTAGGGCCACTGGAGGCTTGGTTGTATGATTGTGGCCTTGGCCTTAGGGCCCCTCTTGTGGGGTTTGCCATCTTCTTTGTTGTTGTTAATCCTCACCGAGGACATTTTCCCATTGATTTTTAGAGAGAGTGGGAGGGAGGGGGAGAGACAGAGAGAGAAACATCGATGTGAGAGAGACACATTGATTGGTTGCTTTCCACACTCATCCCAACTGGGGCTGGGGATCGAGCCTGCAACCGAGGTACATGCCCTTTATTGGAATCGAACCCAAGACCTTTCAGTCTGTAGGCCGATGCTCTAATCTCTGAGCCAAATAGGCCAGGGTAGGTTTACAGTCTTGATGAGGATTTTCTTCAAGTTGTCCTTGGCTCCAGAGTAGATGGTCTGAGACACGGTGGGACCAGGGTGGTTAGGAAGGGAGGTGGGAAGAATGCTAGGTAAGGAGCTCTAGGGGCAGCGGGAAGGTGATCCTAGGTAGACATGAAAGTCCCCGGGGGAAGGACTCTCTGTGTGAGGGAAAGGGAAGCCATTTGACTGACAGATATGGTAACGGTGAGTGGCTCTTAGCTTCTCCTCCTGCTTTGGAAACCAAACTAAGGGTGGGATCATCCCAGGGACCCAGGAGTCACAGCCCCCAGCCCCTTGCCCCCTGCCCTCCAGGTCTTCCCAGCCTGCAGGCCGCTTCCAGACACAGTGGACATCCACGGCCCATCCTGTGCCAGTTGGCTGTGCCCCCTGCCACTGACACCAGCCAGGTCTGCCTTGTTGGCCTGCCCCCGGAGCCTGGATCTCTGCCTACAGCCGGCACCCCCAGGCACAGCCCCACAGGGCCTCAGAGAGGACTCCCAGAACAGGAGTAAGTCCAGGCCCCAGGGCTGCACTTGGTGGAGGCTGAGGTGGGGGCGCTGTTAGGCTTCAGGGTGGAAGGGGGAGGGGACTCAGTGTCACTGGTAAGGACAGAGCCTCAGGCACACTTGACTAGCACACCTTGGCCTGGAGTCCTGACCTAGGGGTGCAGGGGGCTCTCAAGGCGGTGATACCTGAGCCTGAGGAGGTGGTCAGTGGGATCTGGTGTAGGCTGTGAGGAAGGCACTTGCCCACCTCTTTGAGCTAGAGGAGTCTTTATCATGGGTGAGGGGCACTGACTGGGAGTTGGGGTGGAGTCCGGTGCTGCTCTTTTAACGCAAAGACCTTGGGAACATCAATGAGGCCAGTTTCTTCTTCCATAAAAGTCAGCACTCACTATCCCTATGTTCTAGGCTTGTTGCATTTTAATACACCATTCCCTTAGGCCAGGGGTCCTCAGACTTTTTAAACAGGGGGCCAGTTCACTGTCCCTCAGACCGTTGGAGGGCCGGACTATAGTTTAAAAAAAAAAACTAGTCGGCTGTTAAGCAATAGGCAGCGGCGGCAAAAACACCCGGCGGGCCGGATAAATGTTTTCGGTGGGCCGCATGTGACCCGCGGGCCGTAGTTCGAGGACCCCAGCCTTAGGCCACTGTGACCTCCTGGAGGGCAGGGACTGTGTGGTTGTGTCCTTTATCCCTTACCCCCACCCCCTGTAAGAGCACGGAGCAAAACAGCTCAGTATAAAGTTGGTTGAGTGAATGAGAATTCAAGCAGACTATACACACACACACACAGACACACACACACTCTAGAGGCCCGGTGCACGAAATCCATGCACAGGGTGTGCGTGCGTGTGTGTGTGTGTGTGTGTGTGTGTGTGTGTGTGTGCAAAGGCAGTAACACTGGCCCCAGAAGCACCACTTAGGGGCAGGAAGAGCCAGTTCCGTTGGGAGGAGTGAGCAGGAGCACACCTCATGTATACTTGAATGCACACTTCCCTGCCAGCCTGATCCCTAACTACACTCGCCTGTGCCTGATCGCCCCTAACCACCTCTACCTTGGCCCCTGCCCTGGCGGCTTTGTCCAGAAGGACGTCTGGCATGACGTCTGGAAGGTCGTTCAGCTGTCCGGTCTAATTAGCATATTATGCTTTTATTATATATATATAGTTTTTACTTCATATCACTCCTGATTAGCTCCTACCTCACTGTCTGTTGTATCTCAGTCCCCTTGCAAAGCTCTTCTCTACTTACCTCCTAAATATTCCCCTGTTCCGGAACTCAGCCCAGAGCCCTCTTCCCTTCCCTTCTCTCCCTCCTCCCCTTCTCTCCCTCCTCCTCCTCTCCTCTCCTCTCTCCTCCCCTTCCCCTCCGCTCTCCTGTTCTCTTTAGAGTGGCACTGTGTGCTAGGACCTCCTGCGATGACGGAAATGTTCTATGCCTGTGCTGTCTAATATCATACCTCATACCGACTGAGCTTTTCTAATGTGGCTAGTGCCACCGAGGAGCTGAAATTTTTATTGTATTTATTTTAATTAATTTCAGTGTGGACACATCTCAGGTGTCCATTTTGGACACAGCAGACCTAGTGTCATCCTCAGGTGATATCATCTGGGCCCCAGGCACCCAAATTTATATCTCCAGCTCAGACCTCGCCTTGACACTCCAACCGCCCACTGGACTGCTCCACGTGGTGTCTAACAGGCTTCTTCAGTGGTTTCCTCTCCCTAGAATTGTTCCGCACCGCACCAATACCGGCCGCTTTTCTTGGCAAGTGTGATCGCAGACAGGAAAGTCCAGCGAGGGCAAAGGTCTTGTTCAGTCGCCAACCCCAGGGGGCAGGCTAGATGGGAGCAGCACTTGGCCCAGCCTGTGGGGCCCTGACCGGCTTCCCTTTCCTTCTCAGAGCGCCAGTCACCAGGGCCACATGCCAGCTCCACCGATGACGACAAACTCACAGCCACGTCCCCTCTGAGCAGGGATAAGATGGGAAGCCAGCAGGAACGAGCTGATGAGGAGGCCCCCTGCCCGTCCTTCTCTCCCCACAACAGCTCTTCCCCAAACCCCTGGCAGAATGGAAAGTGCTCCAGCTCCTCGGCTTTCTGCTCCTGCCCCCCACCCATACCCATCTCCAAAGAACTCCCGTTCCTCCTTCACCCCCTCTGCCCTGCATATCCACTTCTGCCCCCACCTTATCTGTTCACTTATGGGGCCCCTTCTGACCAATGCCACCCTTTCTTCATGTTGCCCCAAGATACCTCCTACCCCACCAGGGCTGTGCCCAGTGTGCTGATGAGTGTCAGTGAGCCTGGGCACCACAGCTCCTGGGGGGAGACCCTGCGTCCCTACCCAGGGGCCTCTCAAGCCTCTGGTCAAATCCCACTGTCCCAGGCCCCGATTCCAGGCCCTGGAGCTGCCAGGACCTACTCCCCAGCGCTGGAGCATGCTGGCAGGGCGGCTCCAGCAAAGCGAGCCCCACTGGGCTCCCGAGCAGCCCTGCCTTACCCGCTGAAGAAAGAGAATGGCAAAATCCTGTACGAATGCAACGTGTGCAGTAAGAGCTTCGGGCAGCTCTCCAACCTCAAGGTATCGGCCTCCTGGGCTTCGCTGCCCACCCCCCCTCCTCCCCCCAATCCCCAGCACCTTTTAATTTAATGGTGAATTTAGACCTTGATCTCGGTCTCTCAGCATCTAGTGCAAAGCCCTTTCCTGAAAAGCCATTCTTTCTAGATTCCCAGTTATAGCTCCTCGTGTTTGTTTGTTTATTTGAAGTTCAGTGGGCGAAGGAGTAGATCTTAGTGAGACCCATAGAACTGAGGACCAGCTTTTGTCAAGTGGGATCTCACAAACCAGCGCCCAGTGCCGTTGGCGTCCACCAGGGGGCGACCATGGACACACCTCCATGTCAGCAAAGATGAGCGCTATGCCTAAGTTGGCATTGCTGAGGTTGAGGAAAGGTTACGATTATTGAGGGAGATGCCCTCTTGATCCTCAGGCATGAGTTCCCAAACTTTAATGAGCTTCAAACTACCAAAAGAGCTAGTAAACATGCAGATTCCTAGGCCCCAGCCCAGGGATTCTAATTCAGATGGTCAGCGTGGGGCCTGAGAATCTACATTTTTAATGTTTTAATGTACTTCCGGATGCTGCTGATGCTGCTGGTCTGTGGACCACACTTTGAGAAGCACTGCTCAGGAGATACATTACCTCTTATCTGGCCTTCTGACCACTGCCACCTCCCTCCCTCGGGGCAACAGAGAGAGGGGGTATCTGGGGGATGGAAGAGAGGCCTTGAGGGGGGAGTGACAGAGAGGCCAGGGGCTTGAGAGGCCTTGATGCCAGAATGAGTTCCCGTGGAGATGTGGGTAGAGGTTCAAAGAGGACCCCAGGCCCTGCTGGGGCTCTGGGCAGTTGGCAGCATTTCCTCCATACCTGGCTCAGGTCCATCTGCGTGTACACAGCGGGGAGCGGCCGTTTCAGTGTGCCCTGTGCCAGAAAAGCTTCACCCAGCTCGCCCACCTGCAGAAGCACCGCCTGGTGCACACTGGGGAGCGGCCCCACAAGTGCCTGGTGAGACCCTTCTCCCCTCCTGCACTCCTGCAGGCAAGTGAGGAAGGAGTTCCAGACCCCTGGGGGAGGCCCCTGTGGCCTCCATTCCCAATCCTCCTGAGACGAGGGTGAGGCAGGGAGGGAGGGGGAGGAGCATGAAAATGACCCCTCTGAGCCCCGAAGGGCCAGGAAGTGATATTGGAGGTCAGTCCTGGGGTCTGGGGCGGGGAATAGAGGTGTAAGCCTGTGCGGGGAGGATAGTAAAGTTGGGGGTGGATACCTATTACCTTCTTTCCAGCGCTGCTGGAGAAGTTAATGGCAGAGTGTGTACAAAGCACACAAACACTGCATATAAATATCATCAGCCCAGGCTGGCTCTCTCCCTCTTTGAGCCTCCGCAGTCCCACTTGGGAGGTCAGAAGGGCAGGGACTCTTGCCCTGCTTTACACAAACAGAAGGGAAAGCAGCACAGTGGCTGTGAGTCTGAGGCACGTGGGTTCAAATCCTTGCTCTGCCTCCAACTTGCTGTGAGGCCTTTGGCCAGTGGTCCACTCCTCTGAGCCTCTGCTTTCTCACGGTCGTATAGGGGTTGCACTAGTACTTAGCCATGCTTCCTCAGGGTCCTGGGGAAGACTACGTGAGACCAATTCCTAGCATGTGGCTGCTTCCAGGAAATGTTAATTATACCCACGGAAGCGGCGGCCCCACTCATAAAGGTTGCATGTGACTATCTCATTCAGCCTATCATACCGATGAAGTTAGTATTAACAGTCACATGTTACCAATAAGGTGGACAAGACTCAGGGAGGGGAAGTCACCTATACAAGGCCATGCAGGGAATAAAAGAACCAGGATACCAACCAGGTCTGCCTGGTTCCAATGTGCCAGACACTGTGGGTCCCAGGGTGGAATCCTGGGGTGGTGTGTGTGTGTGTGTGTCGGGGGGAGGGGGAGCAGCTTCAGAGTCTGTATTACAGGGAAGTGGGGAGGGAGTGGGGAAGGGGAGCAGTGATCCTGAGCCAGCTGCGGGGGCACAACTGATGCCAGTGCTCATTCCCATAAGACGTGCCACAAGCGCTTCAGCAGCTCCAGCAACCTCAAGACACACCTGCGCCTGCACTCAGGGGCCCGGCCCTTCCAGTGCAGTGCCTGCCCGAGTCGCTTCTCCCAGAACGTTCACCTGCAACTGCACCATCGGCTGCACGCTCCACTGCCCTGCAGCCTGGCTCATACCCACCTACCTCTGGCATCTCTCACCTGCCTTGCCGGGTGGCACCAAGGGGCACTAGATCTTGTGATGGTGCCATCAGAGAGGCAGGTAGGCCAGGAAGCTGACAAGATTAAGGTGTCCTCAGCATCTCGGGGAAAGCAAGGGCAGCCAGCCTGAGCAGTGGTGTCAGGACTGCTCTGGGGAGGGGCAGGGGCAGAGCGATTAAAGGATTTTCTCTATAACCAGCTGAGGCCTCTTGAGCTTCAACAGTGGAGGGGGAAGCCGCCGTGTATTTGCCAGACTTCACAACTCACCTTGCAGCAGGTCAAGACAGGCAGGAAGAACCTGTGCTGCCCACACACAGAGTGGGTGTCTGCAGTCACTACCTGAGGCTTGGGTTTGGGCTCTGCTCCCTCTTGGGACCAGGTCCTTCATCTCGGCTCACCGATGGACAGTCCAGCCTTCCAGGCCTCGGCAAGGTGCAGACTGTGCTGCCAAGAGGGGGCACGTTGCTCTCTCATCTGTCCAGACGTCTGTCTGCTGCTTCCCACCACCTCCTGTCTTAGTTCTTAGGAGGCCACGGTGCCCCTCAACTGGTTACTCCCTGCCATGCATGGCCTGTACATGCCAGGATTGAGCCCCCTGTGTGGGTAGATGGGCAGGAACACAGGATGTCAGTGTCCACCACGACCCAGAAGCATGATCCCATGTGCCAGGACCAGTCACCACAGAGGGCAAAGGGCTAAGGAGTGCTGGGGTAGAGGCCCTGCAAGGACTATAGGCAGAGAAGAACCGGCAAAGAGAGCCTGGGGAACTGGGACCCTCCTGGTGGGCTTTCTCTCCGCAGTCCTAGAGGATCCCCTCAGAGGGGCAAGGTGTCCCCTACCCGCACTCGAGAGTTACAGAGGCAGCAGCAGGTGGGAAGGCAGCAGCTGGGAGGCAGCAGGTCCAGGCTATCTCACAGCAAACAGTGGCTGTAATTAAACAACAATAGCTGGACATCTGCCAGCAGGGCGCCATTCCCAACCATGTGGGTTTCAGAGAGGATTCCCCAGGGGTCCTGGTGGAGATTATGGCTGTGTCCATCTCCAGGACAGAGAACCGGAGAGCCCACCACGGCTGACAAGGGCAGGGTCGGCTTCAGCCCCCACCGGTAATCAAGGTCCCGGTTCCAAGCCCACCCAGTCACCGCATTGGCCCCCCGCCAGGTGACAACCACGGGGTAAGGCCCCGCCCAGTCGACGAGACCACGCCCATCCCAGCACACGGCCCCGCCCCTGTGTTCTAGCCCCTCCTTCGTGGGGGAGGGAAAGACCCTGCGCTCAGCCCCGCCCCCTGGCCCCAGCTCACCCCGATGCCTGTTTCCCCGCCTTCCTCGTGTAGACCCGGCTTGGGGGGTGGCGGGATCTGCGGGCCCTGGCGCCCCAGGAGACCCCAAGGCGCGCGGGCAGAGCCTGGGGGAAAAGGGGCTCTGTCGCCGGGCCCGGGCGGCCCCTACCAAGCGCGCTCGCTGCCCCCGGGTACGGGCAGCATCTGGGTGGGTCCCCGCCGACACGCGGGCGGGCGGGACCGCTGTTTGCTCTGGGGGCCGGGCCGGAGTAGGCGGTTCTCCGCTAAAGAGCGGATCCGGGTGGGCCCGGCGGCCTGAAGCGGTCAGGTGCCCCGACGTCCCGAGCCCGGGGCCTTGCCCTCGCCATGGCCGAGCGGCGCGAAGGCCTGGGGCTCCGCCTGGTCCGTCGCCTGGCCGGGTTAGGGGTGCGCCGGGGGAAGCGGACCCCGGAGGAGGCCAGAGCCCGGGATAGGTGAGGGATGGAGGAGGGCCGCGCGCGCGCGTGTGTGCGTGTGTGTGTGTGTGTGTGTGTGTGTGTGTGTGTGTGTGTAGCTGTCTGTCGGAGAGTGTAGTAGATATTAAAATACGCGTATGTGAGATGTGAGTGTCTCGGAGCATAAAAATGTGTCGATTTTGGATGTGCAAATGCGAAGACGGCCTTTATAAAGTCCCTGTGCTCTTTTGAAACTTTAAAACAACTTTTGCGATTTCCTTAAGTCAGGCTGCTTTGGCTGGACCTCCCTCCCATCTAGCCGCCTGCAGACAATTTCTTTACGGAGGAGAGTAAAGGCGATGCAGTAACTCCTTCCGCCTGTGTGGACTTTGATTCCCACATAACAGGCCAGTTCCCTCTGGTCTTCCTGACCCTCTGTTAGGAGTGTGACCGGCTCCTGAGTTGTCTTGGGCGGCACTGCACTTGCCCTTGTGGCCACGGCGAGGTTTTCCCTGTCATCCCAGGTCGCAATAGCAATCAGCCTCTCTGCCCCTTGCTTAGTGCCTCACTTGAATGATCTCACTTAATCCTCCATGAGACAGGTGTTCAGTGTGATTCAGACGTGGAGATGGAGGTTCAGAGAGGCAAAGTGCCCTGTCCACCACACGACTGGGGAGTGGCGGGGCTGGAGGACAAGCTTGGGCAGTCTGACTCCAGAGCTCACATCCTGAAGCCCCGGCTGCTCTGTTGCCTTGAGAGACTGAAGGCCTGCAAGCCAGGGGGCCAGAGCCTGTCCTAGCCTCGCTGCCACTGGCCATGTGACTTGGAACAAATGACTTCTCTCCGAGCCCATTCACTGGCAGCTGATGTTTGAATGGGAGGAAAAAGGGGCTGTGTGTGGCTAGGAGCTGGAATCGAGGACCCCAGTAGCTCCTGGGCCTATATCCCAGAAGAGGGTGGGGTGTTTGTGTGTCTGTACAGTTCAGTTACCCAGCAATTTGTTCTGATCTTATCATGACACAACTGTTTTCAGCTCACCTTGGGAGGAATGGGGGTGTGGTGGAGGCAGAGTGAGGGGAAGGGTTTGTACTGCTCTCTCACCCCAAAGAGAGAGGGGAGGGGCAGGGAGGGCCTAGCCACCCTATGCTGGGAAGCCTGGGTGAGCTGGGGGGTGGTGCCCACACCCTGCTAGTGCCATGCCCTACCCCGCTGGAAGACACGCCCTCTCCCTTTACCCTGCCTGGCAGAAACCTGCCCTATAGGCCCAGGTGGCTCTGCCCCTCCCTTTCCCCACTTGAGAGGAGGTGGGGTTGGGGCGTAGGTGATTCAGCGGTGTGGAGGGTAGGGGAGGGACTGCGGAGGCTCCTGCAGTAGCATGATGACACATCCCGTGTACGCACTTGGATTCCGTTCTCACAGTTGTGAGAATGGGACTGAGGCACGAG